AGTGCTTCATGTCGTCTTCACTTTCAGCAAGCAAGGTTGTGTCATCTGCATATCACAGGTTGTTAATGAGTCTTCCTCCAGTCCTGATGCCCTGTTCTTCATATAGTCCAGCTTCTCAGATTATTTGCTCAGCATACAGACTGACTAAGTATGATAAAAGGATACAAGCCTGGTGCACACTTTACCTGACTTTAAAACATGCAGTGTCTCCTTGTCTACTCAAGTGACTGTCTTTTGGTCTATGTGCAGGTTCCACATGAGCACGGTTAAGTATTCTGGAATTTCCATTCTTCACAGTGTTATCCATAATTTTTTATGTCCACACAGATGAATACCTTTGCATAGTGATTCCCAGCATAGTAGATCATATGGTTGTCTGATTCGAAATGGACCAATTCAGCTCAGTGATGCCTAGGATCTCAATCTTTATGTGTTCCATTTCATTTTTGACAACTTCCAATTTTCCTAGATTCATACTTTGTTCATTCCATGTTCCGATGATTAATGGATGTCTGCAGCTGTTTCTTCTCACCACTCATCTGTCAGTGTGTCATACTATAGTAACTTGCATGTTGCTGTGAGGCTGGAGGGTGTGTCCCCAGCGGAGTCAGCCATGGTGGACAAGTTTCAGCAGAGCTTCTACATTAAGATAGACTGGGAAGAAGGATGGGGCCATCCACTTCTGAAAATAATGGCTGCTGGAAACGTCTTGAATAGCAGTGAAACACTGTCTGACATGGTGGCAGAGGACGGCCTCTCAGGCTGGAAGGCACTCAGAACACAACTGGGGAAGAGCCGGCTCCTCAGAGGACAGGCGACCTCAATGCCATGAATGAGGTAGAGCTTTCAGGACCTTCATTTGCTGATGGGGCACAACTCAAAATGGGAAGAAACAGCTGCAAACATTTGATCTTATTAGATAGGTACAATTATCCTCACTTTACAGACAAGAAAACCGAAGTGCAATGACATCACTGCTGTTGGTGTCACTCAGTGCAGTCATGATGTCACTCCCTCCCATGGACCTCCTCCCAGACCAGACCATACAGAATCCTTAGTAACATGTATTATCAATTTTAATCATAGAATAATAAGTGATAAGTATGGTTGCAAATTGCTTACATGTAATATTTCTTAGATTTAACAACAAAATTGTTTCATAAAATCTTTCTACGTTGAGTTGAAAAATTATTAGTTTCAACATTATTGCAACTATTATTAAGGGAAGCCTTCTTAAAATTTTTCTTCTTCTCTTTCAATTACTGCTTCATTCTCAAAAAAAGTTATTTATATAGGTTCACACAGTATTGTAGCTAAAATACCAGAAAATGTGACAAAATCAATGACTGTATGAGCACTGGCAGCAACGGAAACCATGGGCATGCTTGGAGCAAGCGGAGACAAAGCCACCTGATTCCAGGCATCCCTGTAATGGAATGATAACTGACCGGACACATAAGAAGGTTCCAAGAGTAAATTAGCATAGAGCTTTAGCCTTGTAATGTACATGGATAAGGACCTCTAGTGACCTCTAGCATTTGGCTGCTACTCAAAAGATCGATTGTTCAGTTCTACCCACTGCTCCATGGGATTATGAGGCAGTCTGCTTCTGTGAAGACTGACAGCCTTCGAAACCCTCTGGGGCGGTTCCACTCTGTCTTCTAGGGGTGCTGTGAGTCAGAATCACCACCTTAGCAGTGGGTTTGGTTTGCTTTACATATATTGATACATGTCAGCTGGATTTAGAAAAAATGTTTTTGTGGTTATAATTAACGATATGGATATTTTAATAAAAAATAATAAACTTATGCTGAAACACTAGGAGCTCTGGTGGTGCAGTGCCTAAGGCATTTGACTGCTAACCAGAAGGCTGGTGGTTCAAACCCTCCAGCCACTCCTCAGAAGGAAGACTGGGCAATCTACTTCTGTAGTGATACCACCTCAGAAACCCAATGAGGGGTCGCCACGAGTCGGATCGACTCAACGGCAGTGAGTTTGGTTTTTTTGGTTTGCTGAAACACTGCACAAAAATTACAGTCATTCTGCTGGCACCCCCTCTGACAGTGTCGCTTGGGGTGGTCCACACTCCCCACACCTGTTATGATGCCATGCTGAGGTGCAGGTCTAGGGGAACGGCCAGTGTGGTGTTTAGTGGATGGAGAGTCAAGAGCTGGGGCTCCTGGTCCGGGCTCCTCGGTCAACCTTCTGGGCCTTGCCTCTGCCCCAGAGAGGATGCTGGGGACCAGGTGATGGGCACCAGAGCCCACAGGCCAGGCCCCCGGGGCCTCTCTTTCCCTGTGAGGAAGGGGAGCGATGCCTGCCTTTTCTTTCTCCACAGAGAACAGCAGGGGGGCCGGGACCTCTGGGCTCCGCAGGGCACGAGCGCTGGTAGCAGGTGGGCACTGCTGTGGCTGCGGCGTCTTCCTCCGGCCACCGGCCAGGAGCCCTGAGCGCCCAGGTCTCCAGACGCTACCGAGTGGCACCTGAGAAGGAGTCAGCTGGGGCGGGTGGTCTTGGGGCCAGGATCTGGGTTCAGCTCCACTCTGAGACACCACCTGTGGGACTTGAAGTCACTCTGTGGCCTCTGACCGCAGTTTCCTCATCTGTAAAATGAGGATAATCATGACGACCTCAGGACTGCTGTGAGGCTTCAGTGAGGAGGGTGCGGCTGGGGCCTACACGGGGGACCTTGTAAAGCGTGACCTGGAGCAGGCCCCCAGATGTTCTCTGGGTATGACTGACCAACACCCAAACAGACCGCAGAGGAGAAAGTGTCAGGCTAGGAGGGGGTGGGGCAACCTTGGCCTGCACCTCAGGAAGGGCTCTCTGGGAGGGCTCCCCTGGAAGAGGTGGTGTTTGGACCACACGAAGATCGGACATCAGAGTTGCCACCTGCAGTTGGCACTTCCATTTAGAACTTTGATGGAAGCATTTGCAAAGGAGGTCGGGCAGCGTTCTGGCTTCTGGAGACCCGGCAGCAGACGCTGGTGGGAAGCAGAGAGAAGCCAGACACCGAACAAAGAAATCAGCGCAGCTCGTTTGGTGTGAAACGAAGGGGTAAATTAAGGCGGGAGAGAAGAGCACACAGTGGAGGCGGGAGTGGCTGTGTGACTGCAGGAGGACACCTGGTGGAACCACTGAGACTGTGGCCCCTGGCTGCCCTTCAGGTCTGGAGTTGAACCCACTCCTGTGGCTTCCAGCCAAACTAAAGACAGGCATATGAGCTGAACGTTTACCTCAAGTAGATACTCTCCTTGGAGAGAACAATCATGGGAGAAAGAAGGGCTGTGTGTGCACAGGGAGACAGCTCAGGGCGCAGGAGTGCATGGAGGAATGGACACAGGGAAGAGGTAACTATCAGGATGAAGTGGGAGGGGAGCTGTTGCATTGTGGGAAACTGTGGTCAATGTCATGAGACAAACTGTATGTGAATTGCTGTGAGGAAAGTGAATTTGCTCTGTAAACTTTCACCCAAATCACAATTTAAAAAAAAAGACGACTGGGACGTCTATGAACGAGGGCTTCCGAGGTCTGGAGGAAATGGCAGTGTAGGTCCTGGGAACATGGAGGGGGCGTTGCCTGTCGAGGCAGAAGCATGGCAGGTGCCGGAAGTGCTCACGGCCCAGACAGCACGGTCCCAGGGAAGCTGGAGAAGGGGACACTCCTCAGAGCAGCGCTCACGTCATCTGGCTGCCTGGCGACAAGACCCTGGAGCAGGGAAGGGCGGAGCCAGGGAGACCCGCCAAGAGGCCATTGCAGGGCAGGGTGCAGGCAGAGCAGCGGTGACGCTAGGTCAGATTCCGGGTCTGTTTCAAAAGCAGAACCAAGAGGATTATATGAGGTTCCTAAGGAGCTCTGGTAGCATGGTGGCTAAAGCACTTGACTGCTAACCAGAAGGCTGGCGGTTCAAACCCACCAGCCACTCCTCGGAAGGAAGGTTGGGCAATCCTACTTCCGTAGTGATACTGCCTCGGAAACCCAAGGAGGGGTCGCTATGAGTCGGGGCTGACTCGACGGCACACAACAACAACAACAACAAGGCTGTCGTGACAGAATACCACAACATGGGTGGCTTCCAAGGACAGAAACGTATTGCCTCCCGGTTCTGTGGGCCGGAGTCATCTCAGATTTGGGCCACGTTGGTCCTCTGAGGCTCTGAGAGAATCTGGTCCAGGCCCCGGTGGCCCCAGCGTGCCCTGGTTTGCAGCAACAGCACCCCGTGGCGTCCTGCCTCTGTCTGTGTCTTCTATGATACCTGTCACACGGGCCGAGGACCCCCCTCCTCCATTATGGCCTCATGGTAACCGGTAGCACCTCAAAGATCCTGTCTCCAAACAAGGTCACAGTCCAGGTCCCAGGGTCAGGGCCCCATAGACCTTTATGGGGAGACGCGAGTGAATCCAGACCAGGGATTCTGGGGTGAAGGGGACCCCTGTCCTCCGGAGGCCCTTTCCAAACACCCCCAGGGCACTTCCTCATTCAGCAGGTGATTGTGAAGGTAAGACCTTAAATGCTTCATTTTGGGTTTTTCCCTGAAATGAAACAAATTAATCCTGAAAGAAAACCTCCCCCCGCAGGGCACTGCTCCCTCCTCCGGAGGCAGCGATGAGATGATTTTCCATACATTAACTCCCGAGGCAGAGCCACAGCGGAGGCCAGCCAGGCCCAGGGGCAGGTCCCGGCAGGCAGCTGGGCTGCTGGCCTGGCGCCCTGCGGGCTTCAGGGCTTTCCGTGTAGAATTTCTGCTCTGGGTCCCCGTGGCTTAAGCATCTCCGTCACCACGAGCTCTGGGAGTCCCAGGGGGCTTTGGTCTTTACCCTGAGGGCAACGGGCAGCCTGGAAGGCGGCAGGCAGGGGGAGAAGGAGGTCAGATGCGATTCTTAGGGGGACCCTCTGGCAATTCCAGGGGACCAGGTTGAAGGGGGGTCAAGAGGGGGGCCTTGAGGGAGGGGAGGAGGAAGGGGAAGTGCGCACTACTGAAGGGGCCGGGAATTGCCACAATGCAGATCCACTTCCCCAGGCTGCCCCACGGGGGCTCTACCCTTGGGGCCCAGGCCTGCTGCCCACCTCCCCCGGGGCCCAGCTCCGGTCGAGGCAGCCTCTTGGGGCCACCACAGGCCAGTGACTCATGGCTGAATGGCTTTAGCGAACGAAAAATCCCACCTTTCACCTGAACTGCTGGTCTCTCTTTGTCGATTCAGTTTGGACCCCAAACAGCAGCAGATGAGAGAGGGGACTTTTATGGGGCTTTCGTTGAAACAGCTGAGTGGACTTGGCCTCTGGGTTTTGGGATGCCAGCCCCCCTCCACTGTTCCATGCTTCTCTTTGCCCTGCCCTGCAGTCGGGGGCCAGGCCTTGGTCCTCATCCGGGTGGGAAATGGCACCTGTGGCCTTCCAGCCACGGGCTTCCCCCCCCCCCACGTGAAGAACCTGTACCCCTCGCCTGTGGCGCCTCCAGGAGGCTGTACTGACCCGGGTCTCCCTGGACCTGGCTAACTGCTGGGCTGGAGTGTGTGGAGGCCCAGTCCCTGCCTGGGGTTGGGACAGCCCTGCGGGGTAGCCGGCCCTGTGGAACACGCCCTGGGGGCAGACCGGAGCGCCCCCTGCAGGACGGCCTGAGGGCTGCTTGCGTGTTCCTCCCCTTTGCCCACCTGGGTCCTGCTCCTTCCCGGCTTCCGGCTCCTCCTGAAGGAAGGGACTGCTTTCCTGACAAGTCCAGCTTCCAAGGAGCCCAGCCTTAGACACAAGCCTCCAGGCATCTGCCGGAGTGTCTGTTCCTTTCCTGGCCCGTGGGAAGCACCCTGCCCTGGGCTCCCAGGACCCCTGGGCAGCCCATCTCTGATGGTTCCCTGCTCAGTACCAGCCCAGGGCTGACCCCACACACACAGCCTCGTACGTGGCGTTGTACGGCCCTCTGGGCTTGAACCTCCCTGACCTCACCACCTCCCTGGGCTCCGTGGCTCCATCTGTACAATGGGGCGCTGGCTTCTGGGTCCCTGCTTCCCACCCCAGCCTGCCCTGCGGTGGCTGAGCAAGTTCCCTGAGGAAGCCAGCTCATCGGAGACGAACAGCTGTGCCCCAGCTCCCAGAAGCCAGTGCTCTGGCTGTTACAGCTCCTCACTAAACCCCAGCTGTGCGCCCAGAAGGGTGAAAGCCCCCAGGAGAAACTTCGGACTGTGGCCACAGTCACCTTCTCCTAGTGGAGAAGCGTGTCAGGCTGGGCGGGCACCAGCAGCGGTGGCCTGGCACCTGGGCTGTCGGCCTCCGCCTGGTGGCCCAGAGTGCCAGCTCCCCGGTCCCCGTGCAGGACTTCTTACAGGCAAGCCTCTGGAATCACCCCACAGAGGGTGAGGCTGGACGCTGAGGCCCGGGCAGGACTCCAGGTCTTGGAGCCTGTTAACTCAGTGTTCCCATCTGAGAAATGGGGGTGCTGTCTGCCCTTGCAAGGGTTCACTCAGTCACAGAGAGCTAGTTTACTGAGCGTCCGCCCTGTGGGGACTCTGGCTGGGTGCCGGGGCCTCAGAAAAGGCTTATTAAGTACCCTGTCCTTGCCCTGAAGGTTGTGGGGAAGGTAAGTGGTGAGGGTCAGAGGGAGAGGGCTGCCAGACCTCCCGGCGTAGCCTGGCAAGAGCAGCCGCTCCGGGTCGGGCCCTGAAGCTGGAGAGGTCACTGAGGCAGGGCGGTTGTTAGTGCTGCAGTCAAACGCTTTGGGGTCACCTTGACCTGGGTTTGAGGCCCAGCTCAGAATCACTGACCTTGGACAAGAATTTCTACCTCTCTGAGCCTGTTGTCTTACTACTGGGGTCCTGACAGTGCTCACTTGAAGCTTGTTGTGGAGTCTGAAGCTGACACCGAGCAAGGTCAGTCTGGGTGGGGGGCGTCTCCCTCGTGCCCCTGAGCCCCCCAGGATGGGGCCCTCCGGTCGCCAGAAGAGTAGGCCCCGCGGTCGGGGGAGTCAGCCTGTGCCAGATGGAGATCCATCAGGGCTGCAAGCTAGGGGCCCAGGCTCTGCTACTGAGCTGGGGAGCGGGCTGGGGGCTTTCCCTCCCCGCCCCTGGCCTGAGCCCAACTTCCAGGAAATCCATGAGGCCAGTCCTGCTAGGCCTCCTTTCCTGCCTCAGGAAGCCCATTGCCGCCCGACCGCCCCCAACATCCCCGAACACTCACCCTGCACCCGGGACGGACTTCACTGGGGCCTGAAACCCAAACACAGTTCCCAGGAGCCAGTGCTGCCCGAGGAGGCCAAGGCCGGCCCTCTGGTACCACCCGTGGCTGGGTCTCAGGCTTTGGTACGGGAGCGTCAGCTTCCAGCCGTGAAATGGGAACCCTAGGCTGCCCAGAAGGAAGGGTGTGCTGGGCATCACCAGGGAAGTTCTTTCCCTCTCTGACCATCAGTTTCCGTCTCTGTATAATGGGCAATCGGAGGTCTCCGAGGTCCCTTCAGCATAAAAGTTCCATGATTTTATGTCTTTAGAAGTCCTGCATCCATCGTCCCTGCAGCCTGGAGAAGCGGTCTGGCTAGGCCTCCGACCCCCCAGGCCAGGCTCCAGGACCAGCAGGGTGAGCAGAGAGAAGCCCCCAGGTCACGTGCTGTCAGGCCTGGTGAAACAGTGATGAAGGCCTGAGGGTTAGAGCTCGGGGATGTCTTGAACCCCAGCCCCTAGACTCAGTACGTGCCCCTCAACCTGTCCCCCTACCTGTCTAGGTCAAATTCAAATTCTGGTAAGCTACGTGACCTCGGGCAAGTCACGTCACCTAATCTGTGCTTCAGTTTCATTGTCTGCAAACCAGAGGTCCTAAAATATCCCTCATCCCTGGTAGCGCAGTGGTTAAGTGTTTAGTTGCTAACCTAAAGGGTGGTGGTTCAAATCCATCAGCCATTCTGTGGGAGCCAAGACTTGGCCGTCTGCTCCTGTAAAGATTACAGCCTTGGAAACCCTGTGGGGCAGTTCCACTCTGTCCTCTAGGGGCGCTGTGGGTCAGAATCCACACACAACAGTAACAAAATCGGCCTCCTTGGCCTTGGTGAAGATTAAATGCGTTCATGTGTGTGAGTGAAGTGCCCTGCGTGGTCAAACACTCACCAAATGAAAGCTCCCTTTCCTTGGGAGCTCTTCCCTCCTGCTTTTGCCCTCATCTGGCCCAGGGCTCCATGCCCATCTCAGCTGCTGCTTCTCGGCTCTGACCCTGCCGGAGCGCCTCAGCCTTCAGATCCGCCCTCCCGTTCCCGCTGCGAGGAATGCCTTTGCTCCCTCTCATTCCCAACATTCCACAGCCTGCTGCTTTCATTGCCCAACTCAAACGCCGCCGCCTCCGGGAAGGTTCTCCTCCGAGGAGCTAGGGGCAGGCGGGTGAGAACACAGACGCCGAGGCCCGGAGAGGGGTCGCTCTGCCGCCGCTGCGTCCTCGGCGGTCTGGCTCAGACGTGAACGGAAGCGGAGCCCTGTTCTCGCCCCACCCCGCAGTACACAGATGTAACCACTAGGTGGTGACAGAGCGACAGAGTCCCAGCAGGGATGAGCAGTAAGGTGAGGCCGCCAGGCATCCCTACATCATTCATCCGTTTATTCAACAAATATTTACTGAGCAGGAGCTCTGGTGGCCTAGTGCCTAAGGCACTTGACTGCTACCCAGAAGGCTGGCGCTTCAAACCCACCAGCCACTCCTCGGAAGGAAGGTTGGGCGATCTACTTCCGTAGTGATACTGCCTCGGAAACCCAAGGAGG